GTGCGCGCGCGAAGAAAAAACGAATGTGTCCCGCATGGTATTATTTGACAGGGATGATGGCCCTGGCAGGTGCGCAACCGTTGTCGCAGAAGTTCGAAAAAGTTGCTCGCAAAAGCCCGTTTGACAGAAATGTTTAAAAAGTGTTGGGTTTCCTACGAATCCGCAAGAGCGCGCGGGATGAGATTTTGACATTTTTTTGTTGAAAAACCATTGGTTTTTTTGATGTTTTTATGTTAAAATCGCTACGAACACTAAGGTTTTGGAAGGATTTCGTCTTGCGCGCGCGAATGTCCACTTTACCTTATTTTTTGCAAGGGATTCTTGAAGTTTGGTTATGTTAGAACAAGAAATGTCCACTTTAGCTTATTGTTTTGCAAGGGAAAACCGATCGTAACAACACAACCGGATCCGGACTCCCCCGTTTTGCCTGGGACTTCCTCACGAAAATGATGAAAATGAGGCTGCGGCCTGGGCGCGGCGGGGGGGTCGTGCACCAGGGGCCCCAACAATAATTATTCTTTAGAAGTAATAATGTTCAACACCAACAACCAACAACAACAACAACAACAACAATTACTAGCACGTGGGGACACTCCGTTCTCACCAGTGCCAGGGTTTTCATAGGAGGCGGGCAATACCCCCACTTTGTGGGGGGGCCGGTTCAAGCTCTACCAAATTTCCAAACGACTCTTCGCCACCACCCACACCCAGCTTCCCGCCCTATGACGTTCGGACACTTCACTTCGTGGCATGCGGACGACCGTGGCTACTATTCAGGCCCCGCGGCCGACGACGACGGCGTGCGCGCGCGAAGAAAAAACGAATGTGTCCCGCATGGTATTATTTGACAGGGATGATGGCCCTGGCAGGTGCGCAACCGTTGTTGCAGAAGTTCGAAAAAGTTGCTCGCAAAAGCCCGTTTGACAGAAATGTGTAAAAAGTGTTGGGTTTCCTACGAATCCGCAAGAGCGCGCGGGATGAAATTTTGACATTAAAAAAAACACATTTTTATAAAAAATGTTTTTATGTTAAAATCGCTACGAAAACTAAGGTTTTGGAAGGATTTCGCCTTGCGCGCGCGAATGTCCACTTTACCTTATTTTTTGCAAGGGATTCTTGAAGTTTGGTTATGTTAGAACAAGAAATGTCAACTTTGCCTTTTTTTTGCAAGGGAAAACCGATCGTAACAACACAATCGGATCTGGATGACATCGTTTTGCCTGAGACTTCCTCACGAAAATGATGAAAATGAGGCTGCGGCCTAGGCGCGGCGGGGGGGCCATGCACCAGGGGCCCCAACAATAATTATTCTTTAGAAGTAATAATGTTCAACACCAACACCAACAACAACAACAACAACAACAACAACAACAACAACAACAAGAAAGCTGACGAGAAAGAGAAAGAGAACGAGCGTGAGAGACAAAGAGGACGAGAAGCAGGGCAGCGAAGGCTCCGGAGACTCCGAGCGGGCAGGCCCTCAGAGGAGCACGCCCCTCGAAAACACGCCTACGCCCACCACCTTGAACTCGCCGCCCACGGGGTGGCCGCCCGCGGCCCACGCCGCGCGCAGCGCGGCCGCGCCCTCGGCCCTCACGTCGTTGCCGCGGAGGTCGAGCCGCTGCAGGCTCGGCAGGGCGTCCGGGGCCCGGAGGGCCTCCGCCAGCGCGGCCGCGCCCTCGGCCCCCACGTCGTTGCCGGTTAGGTCGAGCCGCTGCAGCCTCGGCAGGGCGTCCGGGGCCCGGAGGGCCTCCGCCAGCGCGGCCGCGCCCTCGGCCCCCACGCAGTTGCGGGAGAGGTCGAGCACCAGCAGGCTCGGCAGGGCGTCCGGGGCCCGGAGGGCCTCCGCTGCGCGCGGCGGGGGTACTTATAAGTACTTATGCTAGTTATAAGTAACTTATGAACTTACGGCCTACTTATAAGTAACTTATAAGTAACTTATAAGTAGCCCGTAAGTAGCCCGTAAGTAGCCCGTAAGTAGCCCGTAAGTAGTCCGTAAGTAGCCCGTAAGTAGCCCGTAAGTAGCCCGTAAGTAGCCCGTGGGTTCTAAATTTCAATGGTTTTGGTTCCAAACTGTTTGCGATTTTGCTAACATGCTTTCTGTGAGTTCCATGTTCGGAGGTCGATTTTTTCAGCATGCAATCTGGATTCGTATATTTCCATGTTCGGAACAAGATTTTCGCAGGTTGTAATTACATTCGTGCGCATGATGTTAACCTGATCAAATTTATGTTTCTGTTGTTCGCGCCTATAATTTCAATGCTAACTTAAACGAAATTCTTGACACTTCGCGTATCCCCACCAGCCCATCCATAATGAAACAGCGCGGGCACTACTGTTGAATTGGGGAGATCTCTGGTAGCGAAGGGTGCGGGTGCTGCTGCTGGTGCTGTTGCTGCTGCTGCTGGCACTGCTGCTGCTGCTGGTGCTACTGCTGGTGTTGCTGATTCTCGTGCTGCTGGCGCTGCTGCTGGTGCTGGTGCTGGTGGTGCTGCTGCTGCTGGGCAGGTGTTGCTGGCGCTGCTGCTGGTGTCATTGCCGCTGGTGGTGCTGTGGGTGCTGGTGGTGCTGCTGCTTCTGGTAGTTTTGCTGCGGGTGCTGCTGGTGTTGCTGGTTCTCGTGATGCTGCTGGCGCTGCTGTGGTGCTGCTGATGGTGCTGGTGTTGCTGTTGGTGGTGGTGGTGGTGCTGCTGCTGCTGCTGGTGCTGCTGGTGCTGGCTGATGCTGGCGATGGTTATCGTGCTGCTGGTGCTGCTGGTGCTGCTGCTAATGCATTTGCTGCTAATGGTGGTGATGTTGGTGCTGCTGATAGTGCTAGTGCTGTTGCTGCTGCTGCTGCTAGGTGCTGCTGCTGGTGCTGCTGCTGACGGTGGTGGCGGTGTTGCTGGTGCTACCGCTGCTGCCAAGTGCTCTTGCTGGTGGTTGTAGTGATGCTGCTATTGATGCAGGTGCTGACGGTGGTAGTGAAATCAGGCAGCGTAACAACCGCCTAGGAAGCGTTTTCTCGGAGGTATATCTTCTCGGAGGTATTGGGATCTTCGGGCCATGTGGTGCTCGTTTGGAAGGTCTTGGGGGGGATCTTAAATTCTTTTTGGTGGCATAGGGGACCTCTTGGAGCAGTGGCCACCATTGTTCAAAAAGAGGGGGGCTTAATTCCACCCACCCACCCCTAGGAGCTTCCAAAAAAGGCGCTCTCGCGCTCTTGGACGCCATTGGGGCCCTCTTGGGGCCCCTTGGGCCATCTCGGGGTCATCTTGACGCCTCAAGAGCCCATCGGAAGCGAAAAAGCGAACACACCAAAAAACATTTGTTTTGCTTTGGTGTTGGTGCAAATTTGGCCTCTGTGGGTTTGAACGCGGGGGGTTGGAGGGCACTTGAAACCGTATTGGTTCGTGTCGGATGCTATCTCGAGCCACCTTGAAGTATATTTGGCCATATTGGAAGCTCGGGCTCTCTGAGGCCGTCTTGGAGCCATCTCGAGCCATCAAGGACGTTCTAACTCCTCGCAGGTAAGCCCGCCCAGACGCAGGGAAGGCAAACCTCTCGAGCAGGGAACGGAATGAGGTTGGAAAAGGAAACGGGCTGATTGGATTCACACTTCGATGTTGTGTGCGCCGATGATAACATAATTGCTCGGGAACCGAATATACCATACGGATTTGAAGATTTTCTGGGCTCGTCGTTTGTGGTGGTGCGGTTGGGGATCTCACGAGGCACAGAGCGTGAGAGCGCATCGACTTACATCAAACCGCATGCAAACATATAATGCAGCGGCCATATAACTGTAACAGCCCCGTCGGCGCCTGATCGCCAAATTCCGTGGGCCAGCAACTCGTTAGACAAGACTAGGGTTGGCTTTTCAGCCCGCTTATATTTAGCATATCGGCCGTCTGCTCTTCTAAACTCCCACATGGAGATGCACGTCCAGTAAGTGCCGTCAACGCAGAAATGATACCAGATTTCCCCGCACTGTCGGCGCCTGTCGCCACCAAGCAGGACGACATCCAAATTGCTAAACTTCGCGCCCGATTCGGCAACGAAAGTGCCAGATATCTCGATATTGGCTGCGCGCGGAAACATTTCCCCCACTGGCATGCGCAACGCCTTCGGCAACGCACTCCAGTTGCCGCTTACGTGCGTCGAGAATTGTTTAAGGTCTGCAAAATGTTGGCAGCACAGCTCCTCCATGAGACCCCTGGTGTAGTATATGCCTCTCGACTGGCGGTTCATTGCGAACTTTTTCGGGTCCTTATGCCTTCGCTCGGTGACGAACGTGTCGAAAAGGCAACCGAAATCTCGGTACTGCGGACCGAGATGAGCAGCCTGGTGGTGCTTGAATTGCCAGGGCCCTCGCCCGTGCACGTCGCGAAACTTATGCAAGTGCTTCATGATGCAATCATGCAGCTGGACCGCGGACACCTGTTTGCGCGATGCGCATTGCAGCATCTCTATGCTCTCACAACAGAGCGAAACTGATTCCGCTGCACCGTGGAGGGCGGCAAGGCTCTCCTCCTTTGCAACCACGTTGGAGAAGTACCTCTGTACGACTGGTGTCGCTGACAGCTGCTCGCTCGCAGTGGCGGCCAGCTTGTTGGTCTCGAAGATTTCAGCCGTTCTCTTGTACTCCCGAGGCCACGTCCACTGCTGCATGTACGCGTGCAGGTCTGTGTATTCCACCAGGCCCTTTTTGTTCCTCCCCGCAGCCGCCTTGGCCTTGTGCATAAATTCATCGAGATCGTACTCGAAAAGCCCAGTGATGAAATATATGTGCGGCCAATCGTACATGGTGGTGCTGATTGGCTTCATGGCGGCATCAGCAGTGAGGTAGTGGGGCCCGTAGTGGAACCCTTTCCTGGTCTCCAACTCTGCGTAAGCAGTCTTACCCAAAACAGTTTTTGCAACCATCAGTTCTCCCAGCAAGTTTCGCACAGAAGCGTCCGAGTGCGGCTCCCAAAGGTGGCACTCCAAATTGTCCAACGGGAGGTGCCCGAATCTACCGTCCTTGGCGATGTTTCGGCACAAAGGGCATGGCACGATGCCTCGGTGGCCCATGCTACCGAGGACTTCCTTGATAGCTTTGAAGTCAGCCAATGTCCCGTAATGACGCGCAAAGAGCCTGGTGAAATCATTGGTATCGTTTTCGCTCTCGCGCAAATCCAAGCAAATGCCTGTCTTCGTCAGGTGATGAGACTCGTCATTGAAAAACATGTGTTTCAGTACATGCTTGACTAACTGCGACATGCCGCTGTCCATGGTCTCGACAATGAGCGACGGAGTACATGTAACAATGAACCACATTTCCTCCCCGATGAACAAGATTTTCAAACTCAGCGAACGTCCAGTAGAAGCTCTGCACTTTGCGTGGGTCCTTCTTGGATGCAAGTGGGTTCGTGGGGCTGACCTCGTCGAAGTATATGATGAGCCTCCACGGCGTACTCGGGGAGCTGGGGAACTTCGCCAACTTTGCCTTCATAATTTGCCTGAACGGAGCGCACTCCCGAACGGTACGATCCAAGAGGGCAAACGGGTGATTGACAAATGCAATTCCAACAGTCCCGTCCTCTAGAGTGAGCTCCATCGGCTGCGCCACAGGGCCGTATGGCGTTGGCTCACTAGTGAAAGCATGGCGGGCTCGGAGCTGCGAGCGCGAGCTGCTCGCGCTGGGGAGCCCGTCCGCCCTCACCCTTTTCAGAATCGCCTCAAGCCCCCGCTGCGAAACGTAAGAATCGCGATGCAGCTCATTAAGGTCAGCGCCCGCGCGCTTCATGAGCCAGGGGTGCACGCGCGCAAGGGCGCGCTGGTCGCTCGGGCCAGGGCGAGGACGGTGGCGCGTGCGCCTCCTGATCGGCGCGCGGTGCGTGGGGCGATCGCTTCATACGACACGCGTGCATACATGCGCGGAACTGAATTTGGTTATATAATGGCCTTCGGCCCATTCCGCCACCGTGCCTGGATTCGTGGACATTGGATGGCGTTGGAGGCGCTTGGGCCGTCGCGGGGCGGTGGTGGACCGAGAGCTCGACAATCTCACATCCTGGACCGAGGGAGGCATGTCGGCAGTATGCCTCAAGTGGCATCGAATAAATACAACTTGAGGCATGTCCGTTGTATGCCTCAAGTAGTTCCGATCGGGTACCATCTGAGGCGCGTCGTCAGTATGCCTAACGTGTATGTCGGCAATATGCCTCAAGTGGTACCGAATGTGTGTCTGGGTCTCGTGTTAAGCCTTTCGGAGGTTTCTGGGAGGCAGTTTTGAAGCCTCTTGGGGGGCGTTTTGGGGCATCTGCAAGGTCGTTTGGGGGCCTTGGGGGCTGCTTGGGGCGTCTTGGGGGCCTTGGGGCACCCTGGGGCCCCTGGGGGCGACTTGAATGTTTGAATTGTTCGTCGCCCTCTTGGGCCCCTCTTGGTGCCGTCTTGGAGCCCTAGGGCTCCAAGAGCTCTTGGGTTGTATTTGGAACCATAATGGGCAATCTTGGGGCCGTATTGGGCCGTCGTCGGGCCGTCTTGGGGGCCCCTTGGGGCCTCTTGGGGCTTGGGCCGTCTCAGAGCGTCGGGAAGCCGAAAAGGCGAGAAAGCAAAAACACAACATCGAAAACCACAAGGGGCAATCAACAAGTTTAGCCACTCGGGGCCCTCTTGGGAAGCCTCTTGGAGGCGGGCCGTCTGCGGGCGGCCTCTGGGCCCGTCTTGGGGCCATTTTGGGCGTCGTGGAGCGCTCGTTTGGCGTCTCGGGGCCTGGGCCGTCTTCGGGGCCTCTTTGGTGCCTTCTTGGCCCGTCTCGGGGCCCGCTTGAGCTCGAAACAATCACGCGGGAAATTGCAAGAAGCCCCAGGTGAACCGCGGGAAGGCCCGAGAGAATTGGAAATTGAGGCTCTGGTCCCCTTTATAATGATTCCTCACAGGACTGAGGACTGAGGCTCGGAGGATTTGACAAGGGGCATGAGGGCACTCCCACTCCGCGCCTCGCGGCACGGTGGCGGATTTAGACGCGGTTAAACGCACGCGTGCGAATGATGGAACACATTTTCTGGGATCTCCCCTCCCAGCAGTAAAACGGGCTGTACTGCAACAACGGCAGTAAATCTGTGGGCTAAGACATGCCTCTAGCTGCGCTCATTCCGACATCGACCCCAGCTGCTCGCTGTCCCCGTCCCAGCTCGAGTCCGACCCCTCATCCAACGCCGTCAGCGGCTTGGGCAGCCTCGCGGGCTCAATGCCTTGCGACAGCCTCAAGTCCGTCTGGGTGCCGACCTCACGCGTCTCTGGCTTGGGAATGATTGACCCGACCAACTTATTCACAACCTTCTGGCACTCCACCGTCGGCAGGCCGTTGGCCCTGACGCGCGACAGCGACTGAAGGAAGAAGGTCGACTGCTGCGTGAGCATCTTCTTGAGGAGGTACACCTTCTGGGTTCCGAGCTGCTTCTCTGCCGTCGACCTCTCCTTCCTGACGGTGGTCAGCTGCTTCTGCAGCATTTTCTCCATCTCCGAGCGCACCATCTCAAACAGTCCGCAACCACGCGCGCAGCAGCTTGAACGCTAAGCGAGCGCAGAGCCAAACTGCGATGCATCATGGGATCGGGATGGGCGTGGGCTGGGGCAGGGGCGCGCGAGAATCGCGCAACCCACAGTCTGCCACGCGACACGATCAACGGATTTCCATCGGTGAAGAGCTCAATAATAACACAATATGTCATCCTACAATAGCCGCTCTCATCTTACGGTGGTAGCGCGGCGTGCGGGGGATGGCGATGCGACGACGCTGGTAGGCTGAAAGGGCGGGCGGGTGGATGGATGGATAATCAGAGGGCTGGGGGGACAATCGGACGCAGGTGAGAAGGGGTAGGCGGGAGGTGTGACAGGAGAGAGAGAGAGAGAGAGAGAGAGAGAGAGAGAGAGAGAGAGAGAGAGAGAGAGATAGAGAGAGAGATATATAGAGGGGAATGAGATCACGATAACGAGGGAGAATGAAATGGAGCGAAAGGGAGAACGTGCGAGCGCGAGGAAGAGAGAGAGAGAGAGAGAGAGAGAGAGAGAGAGAGAGAGAAAGAGAGCTATATAGAGAGAGTGGGATGGGATGTGTTCGAGGAGAAAGGGCTCTTTGTATAGAGAGGGCCTATATGTAAGGATATTGGGCAGAGAGATGGGATATAAATATATATATATATATAAATATATGCGTGGGACATATAGAGGGGGAGTGGTGGCGGAAAAGGATAGCATAGAAAGTGAACGCTATGGCAAGATTGGGAATGATGGCGGGTGAACGTAATGCGAGATAAAGCGAGATAGAGAGCGAGAGAAAGAGCGGGGGAAAGAGAAATAATAAGGTTGGCAATGTTTCATCGCAAAAAGATACGGCATGCGCGGCTGCACGCGTGCACTCGCCGCGTGCACGAATGCAATCGTTGCCTAGTATTTAGCGCTGCGAGCTCCTGCAACGGCGCACGCGCCCCTACAAGCCACAGTTGACCCAGAAAGATGAGCCAATGCCGTACGCGACCTTCTGGGCGAGCTTCACATCGTCCGAGCTCAATTTTTTATCCCTGGCCTGCTTCCCACCCTCCGTGTATAGCTTGGAGGTGTATGCGCCCTTGGACGGGCATTTTGCTGCGACACTCTTGGAGAGAAACTCCTTCAGATTGAGCTTGAAGCCCTTTGGCAAATCACTCTCTGTGACGCCGCCCTTCTTGGCCTCTTTCGCCTTCTTCATCGGCGGCGGATCGGCGTCGCCCGACGAAGGGGCGGCCGACGCGGGGCGCTCTGCAGTGGAGGCCGAAGCTGCGGGGCGCGGCACGCGGCCAGCCGCGTTGCCCTTGCCTGTCGCCTTCGTGCGCAAGCGCTCCGCAGCAGATTCCTCGCTCGCATCGCTGTCGTCGGCGCAGGCGCCAGCCTTCTCGTCGACAGCTGGGGGGGCCATGGGGAATTTTCCAGCGCTGTCGTCGGCGCGGACGCCAGCCTTGGGCTCGGCCGCTTCGGCGGGCTCGGCGGCGGAGCGGCTGCCCTTCGGCTCGGGCAGGTGCGAGGCCGACGACGCGCCCGCGTCGGCGGAAGAGCGGAGGCACTGCAGCATGTTATACGGGTCCATGCCTGCACTCGTGCTAGGGAGACCCTTCATCATGCCCTGCAGGAGCATCTGGGCGCCGATCTGCCTGCAGGCTTCCGCCATGAACTGATTGGGGTCGGTTGCGGATGGAGCGCACAGGTTCAGCATGGGCGGGCTCTTCTTATTGAGGGCCAGCTGCGACTCCGCTTCTTCAGCTCCCGTATGCGCGCTTATAGGCGGTCGAGCTCTGTCGGACTGTTCCGAACGTCAGCTCGCGGTACTCCTTCATCGACGGCGGGTCCGTCTCGTATGCATGCTTGTAGGTTTCACTCGGGAGATCCTTGGGCGAAAGCGGAAACTCTGTCATAAACTCAAATGGGTACTTGACAGTGCCCAGCGGCGCAAGCGCCTCCTTGATGTTATTCAAATGGGCGAACCAATCTTTCCCCTTCTCCAGCGGCAGCCCGTTGGCCACATAGATGCACTCCAAGATGTGCCCTTTCGTCTTCTCACTCGGCAGGAGGAGCCCGATGAAGAAGCACCTCTTTTTCACAACTGCGAACTTAGCAGACCAAGGCGTCATGCTGTCCGCGAGGGTCGTGTACTCGATATCAGTCAAGTACATGTTGAATGATGAGCACTTTTGGTTCGGCCGCCTTGCGTTAGGGTTCCCATCCTCGAGCTTGTTCTTCATCTCGTTCACCAGCGTAGCCAACTTAGCCGTTGTCTCCTTGTCCCACCCGACGCCGTGGACGGCCTTAGTCAACTCCGTTGCGGATCGTAAGTCGCGCTCAATGAGCGACTTGATCTTTGCGCTGATGCACGTTGCCTGCGCGCGCATCAACTCAGACATGGCATCCGAGTCGAGGTTGCACTGCTTCTGCTCCTCAAAGAACTTGGGGAGGTTGGCCAGCTCCGCGATGAGCTTGGTAGGAGTGGACATTCTCAAATCCTACTCTGCACCTAGCATACAGCGTGAATGACTCGATTGCTTAGGGAAATATGTCATGGAAGCGCGCGCGCTCGAGATCAGTGCCCATAACTAGAATGGCATGTCATGACAAGCACATATGTTATTCACATGCAGGCGCACGCGCCAGCGCCCACAAATGTCGCGCGCGCGCGCGAGTTAACAATCGATAAGTCACGTTTGCCCTGCTAGGCGTCAGATCATCCCGCGAGCCCTTTGGGCTGCGGTGGTTTAGCGTAATTTTCCTTCTCTCCGCCACAGCTTCCTCCTTCACTTGATCGGGGAAGGGCGGGGGAGGTGCGCGGTGTGCGCGCGTGTGTGTGTCCCCACACAACGCCCCTTGGGTCTGGGGCGGGGGGGGAGGGAAGGGGTGTGTGTAGGTGTGTCTCGCGCGTGAAGCACGGTGCGCTCCTCGGGGAAAAGTGTGTAGATGTGCGTGTATGCGTTGTGGTGTGCGTGTGTGTTGTGCGTGCGCGGGTGCGGGTGGGCGGGTGGCATGGCGGGGTCGGGGCGGGGGGTGGAAAGGGGGGTGGGGGGGGGGGGTTGGGGGGGTGGGGGGGGGGGGGGGGGGGGGGGGGGGGGGGGGGGGGGGGGGGGGGGGGGGGGGAAAGGAGGTATGTGGGTGGGAGGAAGGGGGGCAGGAAAAAAAAAAATTGTCAATTTTCGGCCTCGGCCCAAGGTTGCGGTGGCCTCAGAGAGGCTTAAATTGGAATTCGCATCAAGATTCTAGATTGTCCAAGCTAACGGCCCTAAACAAAAAAAAAAAAACAAAAAAAAAAAAAAGGAAAAAAATTAACGTAAACCAAGATGATTCCAAGTGGCATTCGAGCCATCGGAAAAGCAATTCCAACACCTAAATAACACATGTCTGTCATTGCATTCTGGCCGTATCGCTTTCCATTGGCTCTTGATACCTCACGATTTCCACAATGGAACCCCAAACAGCCAGAGCGCCAGCACTCCAAGGACGGCCCGTGAGTGCCTCAGGGCGCCCTTTCTGAGCCTCTGATGGGGGTGGGGGGGGGTGGGGGTGGGATCCGAATGGCCCTTTTCTTTTTGAACAGCATAGGCAAGACGGCCCCAAGATGTCTACGAGGGCCCCAAGATCTACCAAAAGAGACCCGCAATAGTGCCCCAAGAGGGCAACCTCTCCAAAAGTCCGATCGAGAACGCGCTCCCGAGGCGGTCGTTAACCTAATATGCTCCCACCATCACTGCCCGCACCAGCATCAGCAGCGCCAGCAGCAGCAGCAGCACCGCAACCACCAGCCACAGCACTAGCAGCGGCGGCAGCACCAGCAGCACCGCCGCCGTCACCAGCAGCACCATCAGCGACACCATCAGCAGCACCAGCAGAAGCACCAGTAGCAGCAGCACCCGCAACACCAGCAGCAGGACCATCAGAACGAGAAGCCGCGCCATCAGCAGCAGCACCAACAACAGCACAATCACCATCACCAGTAGCACCAGCGGCAACTCCAGCAGCACAGCAGCATCAGCAGCAGCACCACCACCAGCAGCACCAGCAGCAGCACCAGCAGCAAGATAACCAACATCAGCACCAGCACCAGCAGCACGCGCACCACCAGCAACAGCAGCGGCAGCATGACCAGTCACACGCTCGCGCTGTCTATGTGCGTCCCGTCATTCCTTCTCCCGACAGAGGGGGCATCGTTTCTGGATGGGCAGGTGGGATGTTACGCAAAATCGTCAAGAATTTTATAAGTGCTTGCTGCACTGGGGGGTGAGGGCTTGGTGTTGTCACCATCGTTTCTCTCCCGCATCCTCCTTGTAATCCTTGTCCACCCGCCCTCCCCTTTTTCACATTCCCCGATCCATGGCCTCAGGGCAGCTTCCCTCTCTGCGAGCGTTCCAGCATCTCGAACTCACTGAGGGTCGGCCGACGCACCTGGTGCAATGTTACAATCCTGTATGGAGCCCTCAGCAGCACCCCGCGTCATCTCGCCTCATTCGCCTATACTGTGATGAGAAGACGTTTTAGTATGTAAGCCGTAGGATGGATACTCGTGGGCTCTGATTGGAGAATAGACTTACAAGCCACCGCCCCCGTCTCCCCCCTCTCCCCCTCCCCCCTCCCCTCCCTCCTCCCCCCTCTTCCCCTCTGGATGATGGGAGGTGGAGGCGGAAGAGAAAACTCGTGAGGCAGTGTTCCATGCGCGCAGAAATACCCCGAGCCAGGCTGCACGCACAAATGCCCCCAGCTTGGCTGCACACACAAATTCCCCCAACCAGGCTGCACGCACAAATGCCCCCAGCATGGCCGCACGCACAATTCTAGACGCTTCGCGTATCTCCACCAGCCCATCCAGAAACAACGCCCAGGCGAGTTAAGGTGATCAGGGAAGTGCAGGAGCAAGGAGGGGGACAGCCGAACCGTGCGAAGGAGGAAGGAGGAGACGGAGGATGCTGGATGGATGGATGAGGGAGTGGGGAGAAGGAAGATGAATAGGAGGAGGGGGAGGA